TGCGGTTCCAGAGCTCGGCCGTGATGGCCCTGCAGGAGGCCAGCGAGTCCTACCTGGTGGGGCTGTTTGAGGACACCAACCTGTGTGCGATCCACGCCAAGCGAGTCACCATCATGCCCAAGGACATCCAGCTGGCCCGCCGGATCCGCGGGGAGCGCGCCTAAACGGAGCGTACCTGGCCCTGCATGTTAACCCCGAGAAACACAACGGCTCTTTTCAGAGCCACTAAAGTATCCAGAAAGAGCCGAACTGATCCGTGACGTGCGTTTCTTTGTTATATTTCTATGTCTTCTTGTTATTGCACCGCTTTAATTCACCTGTAACTGCAGGAATTGCATCTGACTGAGAAACCAGTGCGTAGGACTGATACGTTTGTATGACAGACATGGAAAGTGAAGACGCGGCAGTGAAATTTGGAATTTACATTTCAAGTGATCACGGAACATAATTGAAGTACGGGCTCCCTGTGTGCAGGAGATTAGAAAGTCGTGGTAAAACCTCTCTCTCCTCTTTGCCTCCCTTGGCATTTCCTCCACCTCTCCTTCCAGCCTCCTGTTTTGTTTACCTTGGATTCCAGCATCTGCAGTTTCTTTTTTCTGCAACTGTGACCATGGATGAGAAGGAGCGCGGGGAAAATCGCGCCAAATCATTGAAAGCTTTCATTCAAATTTGAAAATCCTATCAACATGTGGAAAGCAGGAGGCGGTTTTACGCAGAACAATGCGAGTGTACTTACTAATTGATTTGAGAATACAAAATGTGTAGTTCACACAATTTGATTCTCTCATTCCACAAGGGGCTTCTCTCCGTCCCTCTCGCCACTATGTTGCTTTAAATCAATTTGTAGAATCTCTACGGATTATCGTTACCGCTATCTCATATCCCCTCTTTGCCCTCCTGATCTCCCTCTTCAGAATGCACTTACAGTTTTTTATCCTGTCCAAGAGATTAATTTAAACCCCATTTTCTATATCTAGTATCCTTCTTGTTTCTATTTTCATCTTTGAACCTCAACCTTATTCAACCAATGTTCATTAATCCTACTTGTGTAGATGCTTTTCGGAATTTTGGTTCAGATTCTATCAGTCAAAAATGGTCTCTTCTTGCTGTGTTGGGATTCCATGAACGTGCTTCCTGGTGGGTGTATTGATAGGGACACCATTTTTTTTTACTACTGTTGTAAAGCCTCCCTCCCTTATTCCAGCAGGTCCACAAGACCTTACTGCTGTAACTGTTGAGGATATTTCTTAAAAGTTGTCCAATGAAAATATGAGTTGAAATTAGAAAAAGGAAATGAATGATCACCTTGGTGCGATTGTATTAATAGGGCCCATAATCGTCAGATGGAAGTTGAGGAACGGAAATGTAGAGAGACCTCAGACATATGTAAGGATAATAAGGTTGTATTAGGGGATTTCCATTTTCCCAACGTTGTGTGTGACTAAGATCGTGTCAGAG